ACTGACACAACCGCAGTCTCCCTGAGTACCCTGATTTCAAATTGACTAGCCACACTAACTCTGACTTTTACAGTCGATTAACAGTTTGACCTTCAAATGTTGCTTTCATGACTTTTTAGTGGAGTTAAGATGTGAAGTAATCAAGAGGAACTTAAAGGCAGAAATGCAATATCATGATTCTCTAACAACATATTCTGATTGGATATAGGCTAGATCAAAGAATTACATGTATTTCTAATTTAAAGAGGATAGATGGATTGAGCTCTTGAAAAGGTTATCGTCAAATTATAGAGAACTACACAATTTATGCAAAACTCACCTCATATTTAGTTTAACCCTTTCATACTTGAAAATTTTGAATGAATGTCAGACCCTCTTGACTTTACTCTTGTTTTTATGTGACTTTTTGATTGTCATTTTGATCTAGTTTAGTAAGGCATGTATTGGTGCATATGTATTACATGGGTAGTATCCATGGTCATCTATCCCCATGAAGTGCCCATTGTATCATGAATTTGTATGGGTATTCTTCATATGGTACTCTTACAGATGTTTAACAACAGTTTCATACAATATGGCCCCTTGCATGGCTTGCAACTTCATACTTGAGCAGCTGATGGTATAATCAGGACATGGATATTATTACATTGTATTAATGAAATAAGTCTCAAAAATGTAAAAGTGTATGTCATGTCTTTGTGAAATGTCCATGGCATGTATATCTTGATTTCTCCTTTAGGAGATTACTCCTTAAGGAGATCTTTATTCCGGTCTCTTATGAGATTCTGGTCTCTTTAATGTTAATTTCCATTGTTCGCCTTTATGTGTTTCCTATGTTAGATTTTATATCTTTGAAAATTTAACTTGCGATATCATCAGTGATTGTGTTTCCTTTAGCAAACAAATGGTTAAAACATATCATTCAGAACCTTTAACCTTTAAAAAACAAATTCCCCTCTATGTCGTGTCGTGCTGTGTACCTATATAGCAGTATAATATCAGGTGAAAGCAGGTAAGTTTATCACACATAGAGATTTTATAGCAGCTAACGAGACATTTTTACTCAGGTAAGTGACTAGTGTATAGCAGAATAGAGCGGTTATTAAAGACGTGTTAATTAGAAAGTTGGACATTTAAGTCATGTTGGTTTTGATAGTTTAATATTGAAGTAAGGAAATTGCTTGTCCTTAAAGTTCTTAAAGTCAAGTGGTCTTCTCTATTTCAACATTTTATATTCTAATAAACTAAAACTTAAGTACCACCCTACCATTTATAGATTTTCAGGAATTGTTTGCAAAATTTGAAAAACATGTGTATTTTATTTATATATCAGACATTTAGCTCCATAAATGATTTTACATATTTTGATTCATAGACATGTTAAATTAGTTTTTTGTTACATAGGTTATATGTTAGTTTTTTGAAAATACTAATAAATATAGCCTCGGGATGAGTAGATAGGTAACATAGAAGTTATCAGTAAGGCTTGACTACATCACACGTATATGTGTGGGAAACATATAAGGAAGGCAGCTTGGAATAACTTTGGAGCCACATGTCCTTTAGGTATTAATATCTGTATACTATACTCATTTGAAAATAGGCTTGCATCCATCCAAAAATAATCCAAAATGGCATATATTGGGCAACTTTGGTCAGAACTGTGAAATTAAGAACTTTGCATTACTCAGTTGCCTTGATCTGTTTTGATATTAAAAAAGGTAAATGTTCTTTATCCTTGAAAACAGACTGATGCACTTCTGTAACATAATTTGTCAATTAGGATATGACAATTTTTTAATTGCATTAAATTTGGTTAAATTTGAGCCATCTTGGGGATTTGTATGTTAGGCTGTGTACATGTATATATACTAGAGATTACCCAGGGGTCAACATAAGTGTTGTTTCAGTCGTGAATAGCTTCTATTTTTACAACTAAGCTACTATTCTGAGCCTCACATATTGTGTAGAAATGACTGTGCATCATAATAGAGACAGGGTGTAGTTGATATTAAAGGGCAGAATGACTTTATATTATGCTTAATAAGTTATTTTGATACCACTTATATTGAAAATATTTGGGGTAGACACAGTCAAATAAGCAGAGAGCCTGTTTTTGAAACATTGGTCAATGCGAAGTTCTATGTAACGTCTCTGAATTTACTGCATAGATTTCTTGACTTTATTTACCACTTTATGTTAGCTGTGACAATTTTGGACATTGGAAGGAAGAAATATGGTGCTTCTTCAAATATTATCATTTACAATAGATGAGTTCTACTTGGTGGATGGGTGGTTGCAGAGTGTCCAAATCTTTATCTTTGGGAGATGTATGGTGAAAACTGTTGAACATTACATAAATTAATCAGCCCCAACTAACCCCTTTTTGTGTTAGTTCGTAAACAGAAGTCTTCTTCTATAGAAAAGGAAAAAAAGTGTCATTGTGAGATTGATCGGGCCTGAATCTTATCTCTACATGTTTATCCCTCATACCCTATCATTATATTAGAATGATGAATGAGACTGACACAACCGCAGTCTCCCTGAGTACCCTGATTTCAAATTGACTAGCCACACTAACTCTGACTTTTACAGTCGATTAACAGTTTGACCTTCAAATGTTGCTTTCATGACTTTTTAGTGGAGTTAAGATGTGAAGTAATCAAGAGGAACTTAAAGGCAGAAATGCAATATCATGATTCTCTAACAACATATTCTGATTGGATATAGGCTAGATCAAAGAATTACATGTATTTCTAATTTAAAGAGGATAGATGGATTGAGCTCTTGAAAAGGTTATCGTCAAATTATAGAGAACTACACAATTTATGCAAAACTCACCTCATATTTAGTTTAACCCTTTCATACTTGAAAATTTTGAATGAATGTCAGACCCTCTTGACTTTACTCTTGTTTTTATGTGACTTTTTGATTGTCATTTTGATCTAGTTTAGTAAGGCATGTATTGGTGCATATGTATTACATGGGTAGTATCCATGGTCATCTATCCCCATGAAGTGCCCATTGTATCATGAATTTGTATGGGTATTCTTCATATGGTACTCTTACAGATGTTTAACAACAGTTTCATACAATATGGCCCCTTGCATGGCTTGCAACTTCATACTTGAGCAGCTGATGGTATAATCAGGACATGGATATTATTACATTGTATTAATGAAATAAGTCTCAAAAATGTAAAAGTGTATGTCATGGCTTTGTGAAATGTCCATGGCATGTATATCTTGATTTCTCCTTTAGGAGATTACTCCTTAAGGAGATCTTTATTCCGGTCTCTTATGAGATTCTGGTCTCTTTAATGTTAATTTCCATTGTTCGCCTTTATGTGTTTCCTATGTTAGAATTTATATCTTTGAAAATTTAACTTGCGATATCATCAGTGATTGTGTTTCCTTTAGCAAACAAATGGTTAAAACATATCATTCAGAACCTTTAACCTTTAAAAAACAAATTCCCCTCTATGTCGTGTCGTGCTGTGTACCTATATAGCAGTATACTATCAGGTGAAAGCAGGTAAGTTTATCACACATAGAGATTTTATAGCAGCTAACGAGACATTTTTACTCAGGTAAGTGACTAGTGTATAGCAGAATAGAGCGGTTATTAAAGACGTGTTAATTAGAAAGTTGGACATTTAAGTCATGTTGGTTTTGATAGTTTAATATTGAAGTAAGGAAATTGCTTGTCCTTAAAGTTCTTAAAGTCAAGTGGTCTTCTCTATTTCAACATTTTATATTCTAATAAACTAAAACTTAAGTACCACCCTACCATTTATAGATTTTCAGGAATTGTTTGCAAAATTTGAAAAACATGTGTATTTTATTTATATATCAGACATTTAGCTCCATAAATGATTTTACATATTTTGATTCATAGACATGTTAAATTAGTTTTTTGTTACATAGGTTATATGTTAGTTTTTTGAAAATACTAATAAATATAGCCTCGGGATGAGTAGATAGGTAACATAGAAGTTATCAGTAAGGCTTGACTACATCACACGTATATGTGTGGGAAACATATAAGGAAGGCAGCTTGGAATAACTTTGGAGCCACATGTCCTTTAGGTATTAATATCTGTATACTATACTCATTTGAAAATAGGCTTGCATCCATCCAAAAATAATCCAAAATGGCATATATTGGGCAACTTTGGTCAGAACTGTGAAATTAAGAACTTTGCATTACTCAGTTGCCTTGATCTGTTTTGATATTAAAAAAGGTAAATGTTCTTTATCCTTGAAAACAGACTGATGCACTTCTGTAACATAATTTGTCAATTAGGATATGACAATTTTTTAATTGCATTAAATTTGGTTAAATTTGAGCCATCTTGGGGATTTGTATGTTAGGCTGTGTACATGTATATATACTAGAGATTACCCAGGGGTCAACATAAGTGTTGTTTCAGTCGTGAATAGCTTCTATTTTTGTTGATGACTACTTTTAACCAACATTTTGACTTTTACAACTAAGCTACTATTCTGAGCCTCACATATTGTGTAGAAATGACTGTGCATCATAATAGAGACAGGGTGTAGTTGATATTAAAGGGCAGAATGACTTTATATTATGCTTAATAAGTTATTTTGATACCACTTAAGATTAAATATACCACACTCTGTTAAAACTCACTGTTCTTCAAGCAAAAGTATTTTGAGAATTGTATTTAGCTGTAAACAGTATCTGAGACAGTATGTATACATGTACTTGCAAATAAACATATAAAGAATATGTGAATAAAATAAAATAATTGTGATATCAGTGCAATGAAATGCACATACATTTTTGCATTTTTAATCTGGATATGTATTTTTTAAGCTAGCAAGGTAATATATTTAAGATCTCCCATTAATATAAGCAAAAACATGTCTTTGAAGACCTTTACATGTAAATGAATAGATTTTGTTGACATGCCGGGTATGTGGACTTCCCAATAGGTCAATTCAGGTGAATAGTGTTTATTCTTTGATTGATAAAGTGAACATACCTGTAGCACTCTGTAGTGCAGTGAAAGGAGTTGTTCAGTTGACATACGCAGTTAAGGAATTCTATTGTATTGTATGACTAGGCGAAATCAAAATTTTCTACTTATTAGGTATGTATGGGAAATTTATAAAGTACATTTATATGTATTGAATTGAATATATGTATTGTAAGTTAAATGAAAAAAAACATGTGGATAATAAAATACAAGTCTTACATGATATGTATGCTGTTAATGATTAGATTAGATAGAAAATATGAAATCCCTGTTCTACAAAAACATGCTCCAAACTTTTGCTGGCTTAATATTATCTTGGTTTTTTATTTAAAATATTATATATTTTTATTTATATTAATATTACATTTATACCAAGTGGCCGGGATACTGACAGAGTTGTTGAATCAGCTCATTTATACATTAAAATGATTTTTTTTTTTGATTTATTTCTTATTTCCTTCATATAACAATAAATCAAAATACAAATTGCTTACAGTGGACACCTAAAATAGGTGTATATACTGCTTGATAAACATAAATTGAATATAATAATAGCGCAAATACATAAATAAGTATAAATAAGATATAAATGATTAGTCAACTCTTGAAGAATCATAAACATATACATGTGTACATTTACATATAAATATTAATAAACCAGGACATACACATTGTATTGATATAAATCATGATCTGACACTAATTAAAACAAGGCATTAACATCCAAAATGTCACCACCTGCCATTTGTTACAGACTCTGAACACCAAACAGCATCCACAAAAGAGTTTGAGACTATAACAATATGTTACCACTTCTGGTGGTGACATAAAAGAGCTAAAAAGCAAAATTACATTCTCTTAACAAAGGTGTCTTGTATATTAAGATAACAGAAAGCCTTCAAGTTGTTTTTGTAACAATAACATCCACTTGTCAGTGGCTCACAAGGATTAGAAAACAGAACATAAATGATTTACAAATAATCGAATATATTTTTATCTCACTTGTACAGAAATTCTCGAAATCGTTGTTCCCTTTTCAAAAGAGGAGACGCGAAAATCTTTCCTTATAAGGTCAAAATTATTTCCCATGATGCAGTTCGCGGAGGAACAAATTTATACTTCCTTGTTTTCCCTCATAGGTTTAACATGGGGATTTTCACACCTATTTTTCAAACGATATATTCGTTCATCTTCCCGAACGAGAGTACATAAAAAATTATTAGACACGATTGATCTCTTATTAATCTTAATATAACAGCTATTTTTTTCATTGTATTGATTCATAGCGTGGTATAAAACGACGATTGAAAAGTGAGAAAATATTCCGGAAGAGAAGGTCACGTGATCAGTTGACAAGTCGCCATATTGGAAAAAACAATTCCATTCGACTTTCAATACTTTCATGCCAATCTTACCGCATTACAAACTGCAACATCGATGCAACAACTGAATAAAAGTATTCATCTTCAAATCATATTATAGAGTTACGTTAAAAACCCACAGACAACTGAGCAGTTGACCAAAGAAGACGCGTCGCTATTATCTAGGTCAATCTGTTCTGTGGTTCGAAAGCAAATCTATAGTACTCGTTTCCGAATTTTGTTGTTCATTGTACAATATTTTATTGATTAAACTCGGTATACTGACTATTAAAGCAATGACAAAGAAGAATACTTCCGATGGTGTCATTGTTTTATTTAGCGTGCGGGTGTAAAAACAAAATTGCGTAATTAGTTTGATTTAGAACTTTCGGGTCACGCAAATAGCTACGCGAAATGCATAGTGGGAAAATATTGACCAATCAAATTTTGTCCTTTTTGAGTGCTTTTTTAGAACATATTTGCGAACTTTCTGATTCAAAGAGCGAACCGCGAAAGGGAGAATTGGTTATTTATAAGGAGTTTTTCCGTATGCTTCCACTAGCATAGTCACGATTCTCCTGAATATGTTTATAAGGGCAAATATGAACAATGTAGTATAGGTATATAGAACTGGGATATTTGGGTGGCCCATTTGAAATATTTTAGGTAACATCATACCTGCACTTTGATATAAACCAGGATTCTTATCAATCCCATTCATAGCCAGATCTTTAATTATTCTCAGATCAACTAAAAAGTATACAATTCAAGAAATATATCTTATATATTTTCAGGTTTAATCCCACATTAGAATCATCCAAACAATAAAATGGCTGCCCGTCCCAGAGGTTATGGAATGACAGCTGAGATCTCAAGAAAGGTAGGTCTTTTATCTTGCTTCAAGACCCTGGACCCCCCCATCCTGGACCCCCCCCCCCCCCCATCTCCTTATTTACTCCAAGAACAGTTTTTTTTTGAAGTAGAAGGGGGAGTCTAGGGTCTTGAAGCAAAACTAGCAGTTCTTGTGATTTGATAATAGGCAATTATCAGATGTTTTAGATACATTCTTAATAATACCAGCCGTATGATACCTAAAATAAGATACATTTGTAATATACTATAAGATACTCTGGGACCAGAATTAATGGGAATCAACTATTCAAGCAATGAGTAAAATTAGCCATTGGCAGTGTCTACATGTTTTATGAAATTAACATTTTACTTTTACTCCTGGTTTTGTTCCATGGAATGACACATCTGTATTTAACCGTAATTACTGCATAGAAAGCTTATATTTTTGTTCTTTTCCTCTACAATACTTTTGAATGTCTATAAAATGAAATCAGAAGATTTTGAAGAAAACATATTTACTCTAGAATCTTGAATGAATTCTATGCTCAAGATCAAGTTATAACTCCAGGCTTTCGCTTTGCCAAGGGGATTCACTTTTTGAAAAATTCCAAAGGGGTTCACTTTTGACAACTTTAGCCCAAAAATGCCCAAATTCATGTTCAGAATGGTGAAAAACTGCATGATTTTAAAAGAATTTTTTGCCCCCCCCCCCTGGCTACAGGCCTGAACTCTATAGAAAAAAGAAAATCATCACCCATTTGCTATGATGTCATTTTTTGATTTTCAATCCTCGAATCTTATTTATTGCTAAACTTTTGGATTAGCTTATAATTTAGGTAACAGGTTGCATTAAATTGATGTACATGAGTGATGGAAAATATGTATGAGTTCAGTTGTTTTCTATGTGTGTATGATCTACTTGAACATTATGAGCATATCCCATGTATAAAGTGGATATAAGTAGTCACTATGGTAGCGTTGTAATGGCCATTTGTCATTTGAAGGATTTTCAATCAAGTCTTTCAACAAGCTCTCATGTTCCCGAAACGTTAATAATATGTCATGAAATAGATAGGGGGTCAAGAGACAAGACTAACATTCAAATATTTTATTTAAAGATGGGAACTTATAGTTCATAAATGTGATGATGTTTACAGTCTGCAAATGAAATGTATTTGTAAGACGTATTCCTATTTAGAGGTGTGAAATGAAATAACTCTGGTAACATGAAAAAATAAATATCCCATACATAAAATATAGTAAAAATAGAAGCATAATTGTAAAGTAGAACACTTCTGCAAGTTGAACATGTCCCCGGGGTTTACTGTATACAAAATTTGGTGGGGGTCCTGAAGGCTGAACCCCCAGATATCAATATATTCCCATACCAATCTGTCAAATTTCAATGTGTTCCAATACCAACCAAAATAACGCCCAAAAGCCATACCAAATGTCCATATATAAGACCAATGCCACACCAAATGTCTAAATATAGGATCAATACCAATGCATTGCCCATATCCTTGCCACCTAGTCCACCAAAATAGTCTGTACCGATATGCAATTCCAAAGCGATCAAGGCTGAGAAGAAATTCAAATTCAATTCAGCAGATTTCTATTCTTTTGCTATGTATTTTTCATATAAAATACTGATGTAAGTGCATGTTTTATATTCCATTAGTGTCACAAAAAGAGTAATTTTTAAAGATTAATTGAATCTAAACTTCAACCTCATTGCAGATTGCTGGAAAGTATGATGAAGACTTAGAACAACAAGCTAGACATTGGATTGAAGATGTAACTGGAGAATCTTTGGTATGTATTGATTCAGAGTTCTTGGATATATTTATTTGTGTCCCATTCAGTGTCTTTGGATCTATATTGAGATAAATTTTGCCTCGTTGTCTCAGTTCCCAGTACATCTCCTACATGATTTGACAGGCTAAATGAAGAAGTTCATTACTGGAGTGCCTCTCCTCTCTATAAATATTTCAAAAGAGAAGAAATGGACTGTTCAGGGCCTTTATAAATTTTATATTATGCTGAAGAGACATTTACCTGAAATTAAAACTGCAAATTGAATTCAGTTTTAATTTTATAGGGAGAGGGGGATGCACCATTAGGACTGGACAAATTCCAAGCAGTATTGAAAGATGGTCGGCATTTATGCAAGTAAGTGTTGTTTGCTATAACTATTAATGTGAGCTTCTACTGTACAACATATTTTTTGTCTCACCGCTCGTAGTTCGAGGGGGACATTGAGAAGCTGCTTCTCTGTCCGTTTGTCTGTCTGTTCGTCTGTCCAAGCTGAAATTACTCAAAGAATGGTCTACAGATTTAGTTAGAATTGTCTAGGCAGATGCCTTTTAGGCACAGGACCCTTGTTCAAGAAGGAATTTTCAGTATGGTCACTCAATTCAATCAAAATGGCTGCATATTAACAGAAAATGAAATCTTTTTTACTTTACTCAAATACCAGTTGACAGATTTGGTTCAACTTTTGATGCCTTAGAACCATAAGACCTCTGCTGGAGAAAATATCTTATTTTATAAAAAATGTAATATATAACGAAAATACCAGTTGTCTGATTTTGTTTAGGTTTTATGTGCTGCAGTTTTCTGGCCATGTTTTAGACTCAAGAAGTGTAATTCCAGGCAAAAACTGGTTATCAGATTTGGTCAAAATTTTATAGCCTAATTTTTATGGTCGTATACCCTTTGCATTTGTTTGACTTCACTTCTTAAAAGAGAGCTTCGTCTTCACTCTTTCAAACTAAAATAAACCTGTGAACTCACCGCGCCAATCAGTGTTCGTCGGCCAAATTTGACCGACGTTCTTTATATGGTCATTCCTTCTTACGTCATCGTTGAGCCTGGAATTGACCAATGACATGCGCATATTTAATTAGAACGCATTTGGCGCATGTTTCTTCAAGCTCGCTGATTGGTGGAAGGTCAGTGCGTGGTCAAAAGTGATTTACCCAAACTGTCACCGGTACCAGTCGTGGGGGCGGGGCTACTAAACTGTAATATGGTCTATACTAGGCAGAGTGTAGTTTAACTAGACTCTGCAAGCAGGGTAATGGTCGTAGGACCTCAACTTGAGAAGGAATTTATCATATTGTGTCACGCCACTTATGGGTATAGATTTTGGGCTATTTTAATGAAAGTCAAGTTTTGAAAGTGTTATATTGTAAAATATATGTTTCATAATAATCAGACTGAATAAATGAAAGACAATATGTAAAAGTGGCCTCGCTATGAAGAGTCAGCTCTCCAAAGTCAATAACCTGGTGTCTGGTCTTACCATTCCAAAAAATTAATAGCGCATCAAGTGCATCAATTTTTTCTGATTTTCCAGGAAATGTAAACCCCCATCAGCCCCTTGTCTCATGGTAATCTGAGATTATTGCATTCTGTATCTTATGTGAAGCCAGTATAAATTACAGGGTAGATGAAAAATATACATTTTGCAATTTTTGCTTGGGACTACTAAATTTTTTCATTACTAAGTACATTATTTCCCACTTAATATTAATTTCACTGAAGTGCTTAGTTTCATTCATGACAGATCCTAGATTATATTAGATTGCTAGATTCTATTATGAGTAAAGCATGAACTTCATTCATAGTCATTCCTATAAATATTTTTATCGTACCTAATAAAGGTACGATATTGTCGTCAGCTTGACGGGCGGCGGGTGAATTTAAAGGTGGCCATTTTGGATTTTCCGTCCTAAAATCTTCACCTTCAAGACTTGTCTACAGGTTTCCAGCCAAACCATTTGACGGATTCATCTGAAATTTTCAGGGATGTTTCTACGTATCAAAGTTAAGAACTGATTAGTTTTTTGGCATTCTGGGTAAAATTTAAGGTGGCCATTTTGGATTTTCCGTCCTAAAACCTTCACTTTCAAGACTTGTCTACAGGTTTCCAGCCAAACCATTTGACGGATTCATTTGAAATTTACAGGGATGTTTCTACATATCAAAGTTAACAACTGATTAGTTTTTGGGCATTCTGGGTTAATTTTAAGGTGGCCATTTTGGATTTTCCGTCCTAAAATCTTCACTTTCAAGACTTGTCTACAGGTTTCCAGCCAAACCATTTGATGGATTCATCTGAAATTTTCAGGGATGTTTCTACGTATCAAAGTTAAGAACTGATTAGTTTTTGGGCATTCTGGGTAAATTTTAAGGTGGTTATTTTGGATTTTCCGTCCTAAATTCTTCACTGTCACACTGCTGTGTTTTAGGTACGATATTGTTCACGTCTGTGCCTTGTTTATTCTGATAATCACTATTACAGTATAGTCTTGTATACAAGCCTGAAAGAGAGCTCAGAAGTGAGTTTATGTACAAGGAAGCTCAGTTCTTTGAGAAATGCGTTTTGTTATTGTATTATTATCGCAATGAACAAAATTTGGTAGGGATATAGTGAAGCCCTCCATTCATCAGTCAGAAGGACTGTCTGGAAAATAACTCAAATACTAAATTGATCTCTTTAAAGTAGGCTATACTCAAATTATTATACTCAAATTGAAGAAATTTTAGAGTAGATCACAATTATGTTATTGTTTTTTGATTCCTGGCTCAGAAAATTCAAAATGGCTTTCTAAAAGGGGAGTTTGCTATAATTTAGAGATCTCTTCAAAGTATGATTTCCATTAGTTATGTCTGTCTTATTATCTCCAAATCAAGGGTGGTAAGTATTATATCGAACATGGATATTTTGTTTGTTGGGATTTGCTACTCTGTGGAGTTGCCATTTTCTAGTTTAGATTTGTTTGCTAGACTATTATATATATGTACATTTTATAGCATTTAGTGGACTTAAAAGTGAGAGTAACTGCCCAGCAAAATAATGAACATTGCATTATTTGTATCTGGGTAAAAATACTAAGACTGGATGCTTCTGCTGACTGGTTCTAGTCTGTTTACCTTTAGAATAACTTTGGAAGTATTGTTGACTGCTTCTGATGCAATACATAAGAGAACTGTTGACCTCTACCTTCAGTTTCTGTCATTATAGGGCTGTTATATCCACAGTTGACAGTGCTTGGGCACACTTTTGCCAGTTGACCTCTTCAGAGGTATATAATTGTTTGTAGTACAAAGTACAGTTGCCTGTATTTTCAGCCTTATCAACGCACTGAGACCAGGAAGTGTAAAGAAAATCAACGCTGGAAGCATGGCCTTCAAACTTATGGAAAATATTAACCAGTTTCTCACTGGTTGTGAAAACTTTGGGGTAAGATTTCTCATAAATAAATTAAGGGATATAGCGAAGCCCTCCATCCGTCAGTCAGAAGGGCTGTCTGGAAAATTGAGTAGAATATGACCGAAATACAATACAGCAAAATAAAAAATCTTTGAAACAAAATATTCTCAGTTACGCCATCTAATAATTCCAAATAAACACCAAATACAGTTCATTGAATGTTCTTTGAAATTTTATGGTTTTTCAAGGACATTTATTTTTATTTCAGGTACAAAAGCAAGATTTGTTCCAAACTGTAGACTTATATGAAAAACAGAATATGGTTGCCGTGGTGAATGCCATCCATGCCTTAGGAAGAGCTGTAAGTAGAAAATATTTCTTGATAACTTGTATAGATGGCAGGTTATGATTGGTGTGTTTTTTATTGTACATCCACTTTTATCACATGGTTAGGAGTTTCTATGTATTTTGATTGGTCAATTGTGACATTGTATATTCCTTATCACATGACACGTGACCAAATTTTCATTTGATACGGCGGGCAGTATTACTACGGAGTCAATTATGACGACGTCACTGGTTATATCACTTCGTAGCTAAAGAAAAAAGTATGACAACATATTATTTCACTAACAAATACGAATGCAACAGTATACTGTCATATTATTTCAAAGCAAACTTTCAAAACATGCAAAATGTAGGAGTACAGAAGAGTATAGGGCCTACACAATTGACCAAATCAAAATGTTTATGAACTCCTAGACATGTGATAAAATAGTCATCACATGTTTCAGCTTATGTGATACAAGAAATATTTCACTCGGGTAACAATGTATCACCACTCAAGCTTCGCTTTCGTGGATGATACAATGTTACCTTTTGTGGAAGTTTTCCTGTATCACATGCTCAAAGGTGTGATAACTGATAGTATCACACTCTTTGCATCTTTGAATGTTGGGAAATCTCCTCCCCTGCTCTATATTAAAATTTAAAAAACAGCAAATAGAGGCAAAAACAGGTAATAACGATTTTTGTTGCTCTTTTTGATATCTGTTTCTTTTTGGTAAATTTCTAGCTTATAATTTTGTCCTAGAATAGAAATCTGCTGGAATATTCAATGTTGTAAATCTTTTGTTGTGTTTTAGGCCCAGAAGAATGGATACAATGGTCCAGTACTGGGACCCAGGGAGGCCGCAGCAAATAAGCGAGAATTCTCAGAAGAGCAGCTCCAAGCTGGCAAGGGTGTGATTGGTCTACAAATGGGAACAAATAAAGGTGCTAGCCAAGCTGGACAGAACTTTGGAAAACAAAGAATGATCATTGATTAAGCAAGTGGTCAACACTGTACTGATACAATGTATACTGTGGAATACACAGGATTTAGCCATATTACTATGACAAGTCAGTATAGCAACTTGCCAAACTGTGTCACCAAGTAAATGTTTCAGACATATTTCCAGCATTGTTGAAAATATATTTTTATTTAGGCAATAGCCTATGAGGATTGGGGCATTACAAAGAAAATATTTGAACTAATTTGGAGGAAAATAAAAATAAAGGAAATAATTAACATCAGAATCACTAGGGCCTAATCAACCTGGATGTAATATTTGCAAAAATTATAACTCGATCTTGGATAACACATGAGTGGCGACAGTCATCTATATTGTTGCCCTATATAGGCATACTGTAACTGTACTTGTGCCATGAAGAAGTTAACTGGGCAAGGATTAATGTATATAATATATACAGTGTACTAATTTTCAACTTCTATGATATTGACTTTGAGTAATGAAAGATTGTAGTAGTTGGTCTCTTAGGTGAATGAACTGTCATATCTTAATTGAAAATTTTCAAACCTTGAAAACACAGTTGTTTCAAACTGCTTTCTTTTTGATACTATAACAAAATCAAATGCATTATTAAGAGCATACAGATTGAATGAATATATTCATTGTATAATTGTACCAATACTATGTAGTGGCACAACTTTTCCAGGATTTCCTACAGAAATGTTTGTTATTGTTTTCTACATCGCATCATTCCTGTTTTGTGATCATTCCTTGACTGTTTGTCTTTTTTATTTCATTCCAATTCTTAATTCCATTTCATGCATTTACAGTATGAAATAATTCCTTGTTGTAAATTATGCATTTTCCCTGAAACTTATTATTACATTGTAATATGTGAGTGTAAACTTTTATATTGATATGTTTATACATATATTGCAAACTTGAAATATATAAATAAATGAATAAAGAATACATTATAAAGACAACTCTAATGATATGGTTGATAATATTGTAAATAAGTCGTCGAAATAAATGAAAATCAATTTTCAATACTTGTAAGTTTGTCCATACTTGTCCATGGCAATTCCTCAGTTTTTTCAGGACAATGGTGATAGAATTTTGGAGAAATTTATGCTTATAACTAGATTTCTATTTATTAGTGTTACACAAAGTAAATATTGTACAATTGTATTATTGTAGAACTTTGTTATTTTCTTATAGTGAAACTTTAGAAGGGTAGGATTTGCAATAAAATTATTTGCTAAAAAATAATTGTTTTTTTGATGATTTCCTTATTATAGTATGAGTATGACAAACCCCATTTTAACAAAAAGGTTCTATAGAACTGAGTTTTATAAATGGCAGAGCACTGGTGGGTAGTTCTTAAAATTTATTACTGACCTTTATCTGTGAATGCATGTAATACATGTACATCTATTCATACAGTGTGCAATGATGTATAATCATTGTTCATGTGCAAGTCCAATCCTTTGTATCCTATGTCAGTTACTGGTAGTCCTCACCTCGAAGCCATTCTGGTACACTGGTCATCAACAGATGATACAAGCCCTTAGCCAGGGGGGTTCGGGGGGTTCAGGCGAACCCCCCCCCCCCTGGCCAAAATTTCTTTCAAAATCATGCAGTTTTTCACCATTCTGACTATTTTTGGGGTGATTTTTGGCCAAATTTGCCAAAGTGAATCCCCCCTAGAATTTTTGAGAAAAGTGAACCCCCCTTGGAAAGTTCTGGCTACGTGCCTGTGATATTCTTTTAATATGAAATTGCTCATGGAAAATGTTACACATTCAATATGATCCAGATAAACTAAAATAGGAAAATAAAACTTAATAGAGACTATTTTGTGTCAAAAGACTTTAGTTTTTAAGATTGAATTTAATCCTGTTACGGGCTTATGTGAAAAGTCACTACCCCAGTGGTCTTTGAGCCCAAAATATGGATGATCAAATTAATGTTCCCACAAGTGACTGCCCCTTGCATCCTTTTGAAAGCTTAAAAGAGACCTCTGTCTGTCCAAAACTACCTGTATTATAAATCTATATTAAAAAGTTGTGACTTGTGCTCTTTATAGTCAATTTAGAATAAATATTTAATCAAATATGCATTATCAGGATGATATTAAAATACAAGGTGCAGAAATGTTACAGTTACCAGGATTGAAAAAAGAGAAACATCCAATGTTATAAACAGCTATTCTTCCAAATTAAGGATGTATCATGAAAAGAGAATTTGGGTGTCTTTCAGAAAAATATTTGAAAATTATGGCCATTTGTTAAAAAAAGACAATCTCAACTCGGTTAGTCATTAAATACTCAAATATTTAATGACAAATATTTAGCAGGCAAGCAGAATTTCATCCATGGTCCTGTGATACTAGACTCGCCTATTTGGCTTTTATGTAAACCGATTGAAACATCTGATGACAGCATGACAACTGTGGTAGAAGGGTTGGATACATGTACTGTTTTTAGGACTACTTATATCATAATTGTATAGGTATATATTGAAGCTTATGAGCTCTCCCATGAGTAAAACTACACATATCAAGGCTATTATATAGTATATAAAAAGTGGATTGTTGCTTCATTAAACCAAGACCAAATGTACTTCACAATAAAGCATTGACACCTCAAAATAGTTTTATAAAACAAATATATTTCAATTGCAGGCAGTGACCATGTTGATATATGGCTCATTTCCATCCAGTTTCCAGATGACATTTTCTTAATCTAATTTTAATTTCGTGTGAATGGATGTTTTATTTTAAGAAAGACAACAATTGTATATGGATAATATATACTATCACTCAGAGGAGTTAGCATAACAATAATGAAAAGGGTAATCAATTTCATCGGTATTTTTGAAATTTAATGGATTGCCAATACCTTAATTTTCTAAAGGTTGTTAACGTTTTTTTTTAATAAAAGTCATTAAGTGTATCTCTGTTCCTGTGTTTTCCCAGTCTGGTTTACCAGGCTCCTCTTGTCTGTCATTTGGAAAGATTAAGACAAAAGGGGTGCGGTTATCGCGATTTGACATGAAAACTCATCCATGTCAAACATTTGATATCTTATTGTTTTTAATGAATTCTATAAATGCAAATTATCCAGGTAAATGAAACAGGATACAGGTGTATACGTATTTCACATTTTGCACATGTGTAAGAGAAACATGTTTGAAACGAATTGTTCCAACATTTAACATTTTCGAACTGATACTTTTGCCAGTTGCTGGTGATAAGTATTCAGAATTTGATTTTGGCAAAATAGCATTAAATTATTGTGAAATTAGGCGTTGTGTTTTAACCTTGTATTTATAAATTTTAATATCTTCCCTTTATTTAATCATCCGTATAGTTTAACATGTTATTAATAAGGAGTATACCCCATCCGCAAGATAAGAGCCAAGTATAGCTGGAGGTGGATTTGAATAAGAAATAAACTAAGGTATATCAGTTAACAACAAATGTAAAAGTAGACACAGGTAATAGTTATTACTTCTATCAAGGACGTCTATCTCTCATATATATACAGCTTTCTACAAGAAAATAATTAATTTAACCACTCGAATTGTTTTACATGTGGGTACCACATCCGCAGAGCAATCAGAACTTGACTGTCCGCTGTATAAGTGTATATTGTATTGTTAATACCATTATTTGTGTTTCAGTTAATGTAACAATTCTTAGAGGTTATGTCACTATGACGTGAAATATGCCTGAGTTCTCCCAATATAGGCCGACCTTGGGAGGCTCTATATTTGGGCAAGAACGAAAACTGATGTATTACATGCCTTTGTTCCCATGGTTAATTTGTATCAATGACGTGACGTCATGATATTATCATGGTTATTAAAGAAATCTAATATCAAAACGAGGTAAGCGGGCTATATCGGGGTAATCGGGCAATATCGGTGGATATAGCTCACTAACTTTCCCATTGACTTCCATACAAATGCTTCGCTAGGTATGTAATACAATGCCAATATAATCACCGTTCATTAATTATTTATGATTTTTATTTTTTTTAGGTGTAGCTTCTCTTATAATTTACTGGACTATAAAATGGCAGATCGTCCACACGGTTATGGATTGGCAGCCGAGGTGAAAGATAAGGTAGGTGATTCCGATACTCATCATATTGGTGACTTATTCATGGTATTAGACTTGCGATGGAAGAAGGTGAATTGATTTCTCATGGCTTATACATGGCTTAAAGTCTTCAGGAATTTCAGGAATTTTCCTAAAAAGCACTCAATTAAATCTCATTTTCCAAAATTCCTTGGAGGGAGGACCGCAGTGAAGACCGAGCGTGCGAAGATGGCACATGGACCTTTCCTGAAAATTAAATGGCAAATGACGCCGACCAAGCGAGTGGTTGGTTTGGGCGAAGTGAAGTCCCCATGATGATAAAAATATCAATCAAACAATTCGAAAAATTATAAATAGGGACCCCACGTCAACCATTTTTTCAAAATGTTGAACTTATTTGCTCAAAAGAGGATCTTCTTTTTCTGATTTTTATTACATGAAAATATTATTCAACAAGGGGTCTAAAACATTTTCAAAGGTAGAATGGTATTGAAAGTGTAGCTTTGAAGATATCAATTTTCGATGCCCAAAATCATGCTGAAAACAATGGATCGCATGAGATTTCCCTATGGGAAAAATGACATGGGAATGTATTTTTTAACTTTATCGCATTTCAATACCCATCCCCTTTCCAGAATTTATTAATAGTGTAGAAGAAGCTTTTGAGACATTTAAATTGAGAAAAACAAGATCCTCCTTTTAGAAAGTAAGCCTTACATTTTTAAAAAAGTGACAAGGTGGGGTCCTAATCCATAATTTTTCAGAGGATGGGATTGATATTTTACTATCATGGGGACGTCATTTTAAAGAAAACAAAAATCGAGCATATCATATGGTATCCAACATTTCTTTCGGCTAGTGTGCTCGAGATTACTTTTGCAATTTATTCACAATGAGAAAATATGACTTAACAACAGGAAAATTAATAAGCCTTTTTTATTCTCACTTTTCAACACTACGCACTGGCGTTTTGGCGTACATTGTTCCTACGCCACTGGATTGAGAGCAATTGCTGATAAGGGTAGACACATTAAACACAGATTTCAGAAGACACACAGATGTCTTTCTTTTTGTAAATTGTGACATTACAATCTAAAAGTATTACAACTTCAACAGCATTCAAGATATCTGGCACATGAATATACACATATCTCTGAGATGAGACTGCCATGGAAATCCATAATGACACGCGGGTGATAAATTATCTCTAAATTTGCAGATATCGGGGAAGTATGATCAGAATTTAGCAGAAGAAGCAAGACGCTGGATTCAAGAGAGCCTAAATGACGGCGGAATGCAAGAGTTAGCAAATAAATTGGTACGCACTTCATCACTGTTCAAGCAACTGAACCCATTGAACTTAATTGTGACGAATTCCATGTTGTTTAATCATGTTTTTATTTTTGCGTTATTATCCCATCGAACGAAGTTCGGAGGGATATAGGGAACGCCTCCGTCCGTCTGTCCGTCCGTCCGTCCGTCCGTCCGGGCAATGGAGAGGTTAAGCTACCGTATAAAATCCAAAACGCAACTTAAACGTATCAATCGGCCCTATACAAATACATGTAGAGTTCACACATAAATAGCCATTCAGCTCTAGTGTTTGTTTAGACTACACCATAGCTTGTAATGATTACATAGTATCCCATTGATGAAGTTCAATAGCTGGTTTTCTAATACATATTTTAAACGAGCTCGTTTCGTAAGATTATTGGAGTTAAATCATGCGTAACATACATTATCTTTTTCAGAAAGAATTATACTCTGCATCGAAATCAAAATTGCAAGGATAGTATTCAACAGACATGAGTATAATGATTCCCGTTGATAGCAACGTGAAATTTAAAATCTCCCGTTCTAAACACGCAACTTTGAAGTTGAACGGGTATCTGAAGTAGACTAAAGCGATACAATCCTATGTTGATTCAATGTACTTTGCGTTTACGTATACGTTTTGAAAAACCGTATTTGCTTAACCTCTCCAATATCTCAAATACCGTTGGCCTGATTTTGTTCATATTTTGTACACATATACCCAATGGAGATAGAAGTTCTGCATATAAAACTGTAATAGCAATATGTTTTAAATGTAAAAAATTTATATAGGACATTGATTAAGCTAGAAATGTAAATATAAAAGAAATACATGGCAGCCATCTTGAAAAATGGCTGCCTTTGCACGTCATTATACGATTTTTGCTGTAACTTGAAAAGTAGTGGAGCGATTTTGTTCATATTTGGTATGTGAATACTTTAAGCATGGCACAATGTCTCATAACATTTTGGGTAGTAGGCGGCCATTTTGAAAAGTGTTATTTAACATTTTTTACTGTAAGTCAAAAAGTAGTGGAGCGATTTTATTCATATTTGGTATGTGAATACTTTAAGCATGGCACCATGTCTAATGACATTTTGGGTAGTAGGCGGCCATTTTGAAAAATGGCCTCCATTTTTAAGTGTGTAATTTTACATTTTTTGCTATAACTCAAAAAGTAGTGGAGCGATTTTGTTCATATTTTATATGTGAATACTATAAGCATGGCACACTGTCTAATGACACTTTGGGTAGTAGGCGGCCATTTTGAAAAATGGCCACCATTTTTACGTTTTTTACTATAACTTTAAAAATAGTGGAGCGATTTTGCTCATATTTGATATGTGAATACTCATGAGCATTGCACACTGTCTCATGACACTTTGCGTAGTAGGCGGCCATTTTAAAAAATAGCTGTCATTTTTACATTTTTTACTGTAACTCGCAAAGTACTGGTGCGATTTTGTTCATATTTGATATGTGAATACTTTAAGCATGGCACATTGTCTAATTAAACTTTGGGGAGTAGTAGGCCAACTTGGCCAATGATCAACCATTTTGAAAATGGTGGCCTTTCTTATGGGTGTTATTTAATGATATTTGCTATATATTTCGTATGCAAAAATGCCAGCCATTTCTGTTCGATGGGATTTGCTACGCTTTGGCGTTGCCGTTGTTCTGGTTATTCTTTTTGTATATGAAAAATACAAAATAAGCTTTTTGCTTGGAATATGTAGAAATAGCATTTTTCACACCCTTCTCTTGAAAGCCTATGATTTAGTTGAAAATGAAATTTCGTCCACAATCTGATCTTGAATGATGCTAACTCCAATTTGTATCATCATGGTATCATCTAGCTGTGTTCAGTCTTGGAAATATGAATGTTGATAACTTCTTTTAAGCAACAAACGATTAATAGGCTTAACTTTCAATGTCATTACCTTTTCCAAAAGTTTGAGTTTGATTCTGCTTGTTCAGCTTCGTTTACAAATTACAAGGCTATGGCAACCGGGGTAGCATTTTTTCAAACCAATGAGGAAATGCGAGGAAATAGGAATTATTGTTGAAAAGGAGATGGATCTGTGGAAAGAGAACTTAAAGGTTTAAAGAAATAGAATGAATCAAATGGCTTTTTCAGGACGGAGCGGACAATGAGAAAAGCTTCCAAGAAGCATTGAAAGATGGAGTCATTTTATGCAAGTATGTATAATTTAGATATTTATGGTATATATAATATATACAGGGCGAGCAAATAAAAATGGGACACATATATTCCAGTTTAAAGTGTGCATAATGAGAATAAAGTTCTAACTTTTTGTGGGTATAAACCATATAATTTCAATTCGTCAAATGATGCGTGTTATTGCTTGACGCAAGACATGTGATGCGGCCGCCAAAACCAGAGACATATAAAACACAGCTATTGAAATTATAAGGAATTTATAATAATTTCAATAACTTTATGTTAAATTATTTGTTTTCACTGTTTTGACATTATCTTTCTCGATAACCCAGATGCCTGTAGGTAGTTACCAGTTTCACCACCAGGTGGCTAATTCGGGTCAGATAACATTACAGACAGTAGAAAGTTCCCTTAAATTTTGACATTCATCAGTTCTAGTGGATTTATTTTCATATTATCTTTATGTAGATAAAGATTCAAGATTTTATTGTGTTTCAAGCCAAAACAATTGACTTCCTCACAAAACCAATTACAAGACATAATTATAGAGTTATACAGTAAAATGCATTGTAAGCATTGTTAAACTAATATTTAAAGGCCCCATATAAAGTTTAAACCACTTTGGCTTATATTGTAGTCTTACCCAACGTTATCAAAGTGTGATATGTGAAACTTTTTTTTTAAATTTCAAAAAGTGGTTTTTGATAGACTTTTTGTTCCAAAATTTGTGAATTTATTTAAAACCAACTTTTAGAGGTCACTCATATCTTCTAATTAGCTACAATTCATACCAATGCATAGCATTCATCCTCCCGTGTTTTTTGCCGAAAACATTAAGAAAATCGGTTTATAAATAAGCAAGAAATGAACTTAGCAGTGCATGAAAATGGTTCTTAGAAAAATGCATTTCAAAATTTTAGTTCTCATAGAAACCAATGGTACAATGATATCTAAAATATAATTCATTCTTCCTTTTAACCTGGTTAGGCAATCAACATTGGTTTTTTATGAAAGTCTAACATATTTAGAAAAGATTGACATCGAAAAAAAAATTTCAATTTTTTTCAAAAAGTTTTTGGTACCTTAGTGACATCACTAATGTTTCAAAATATTTTTGATATTCTAAAACATTGAAGTGGCCCATTAAATATGGCATTTTATTATTGAAATAGTGTGTCCTTTGTTCAACCTTTGCATTGGTGTTAAAAAGATAATCTTTTTTGAAATGCATTAAGAAATATTTGATGATTAAGAAATTTCAACTTTTTTTGTAAAATGGCGGGAAATTTGAATATTTGAGAAATGAAATGCTCACAACTTTTTTTTCAAAAATTTTTTTTTGTTCAAAAATCTCTAAAATCACTTTTTAAGTCCTGACAAATAGTAAATGGATGATAAAAAAATATTTTCAAACTTTAGACGGGGACTTTAAACATAACTATCTTACAAACTAGTTTATTCCTTTTTCAAATAGCTCCCGACGCTGATTGAAAAGTTTATTGATTTTATAAAATGTATCAATTCGTTTACAATTTTATAATCATCTGAAATCATTAAAAACTTAAACTTTTCTTCATCCGACATATTTTTAAATGAATCAATAAAACTTAGATTGTTAAAAAATTCATATCTACAATCTTTATAACCATCGCATAAAAGAAGGAAATGCTTTTCATCTTCCACTTCCCCCTTATTGCAAATTTGGCAAATTCTGTCTTTTACTTCAAGTCGATTCTGTTTAGTGCCATCTTTTTCTTTCTCTCGTCTCCCTGTTTCAATTCTTGAATATTATGGTTTGCTAATCTAAACCCGACCATTTTAAAAATTAACCTTTTGTTCACACTTAAAGTTAAATATCTTTCAAGTTTGTAATCAGTTTTCATATAATTTCCGAGTTTTCTATTTTCTCTAATGGCTCTACCATTATATTCTATATATTTTCTTTGCATTTCAAGTTTAATTGCTTTTAGAAGATTTTTTATTCCAAACGTACTTTTGTTTTCAAAAACATGTTCAAAATTAAAATACTTTAATATGCATTCCATATGTTTGACAAATATGTTATTCTTATCCCGAAATGATATATTTATTAAACTATCTACGTTTGTTTGATGCACACACTTCAACCAATATTTAATGGAATATATAAGTGAATAGCTAAAGAAATCTTCCTAAATCGTGTTTTACCGCATAACTAAGTATATTTATTAACCCCTAAAAGGAATTTTCAAAATTTATTATGTATTTTTTCAGGAATAAGGCTTCATGGCAGCTCTCTTATTTGAAGTCTCCTTGACTTATCTTTCTGTCAACTTTCAAGTGAAGGTTGGCCATCACTTACATGTAAAAATTAAGTACAGTATTTAGCTGTTTGAGGACGACTGTGCATCGAGGGGTATCCCAGGGACCAAAGGGTTTGTGCCAAGTAGATGTGTAAAAAACAAGATGAATATATTATGAGTTCTCAGGGCTTAGATGAAACCTCTTTGCTATGTCTTGTTGTCATGGAGAAAATTGCTGACGATGATAAGAAGTTTACTTAGTTCTGCTAGGGATAATGTCTCATCACCATATAAGAGAAAATTAAGTTTATCATCCATGTTTGTTAGTTGGCTGATCTTATTATAAAAATTATTGTTGACCTCTTCCATCAGGGCATGCCTATTAATTTGGCATAGAGGACACTTGAAAAATAAATGTTTTAGTGTTTCAGGTTTGCCGCAAGAACAATGAGCCGAGTCTATAAATGTAAATTGGTGTGCAAAAAGTCTTGCTTTCAAAAATAAGTCAACACGAGCTCTGTTGAGAGTGATTTCTTGAGACCTTGTTAAATTAATCAGGGACGTTGAACTGATTATTCTCTTGGGCAGAAAGATTGATTGATTGATTGTTGTTCCAAAGGAATTTAGTCTAGGTGCTCTATTAAACAAACATACTGTTCATGAAAATCTTATTGAAGCGACGGTTATGTCCGCCATTTGTGACAACGGTATCTGACTTTACCGTTGTCAGGCTATTCCGGTGTGAACATGGGGTTTTGATTTTATAACATAGGGTCTATTGAAATCTACCCGACCTTGAAGTCACATTTTCATAGAAAATTAAATTTTCAAAGTTGATATAATTTTTGAAACCACAATTCCAGATACAATTTACCTGTAGAATTCAAATATGATATCACATTTTATCAATATTGTGACTTTTATTTGTATTTCTGTATGATTTACCTGAAGAATCGTAGGAATTGTGTGACTAGGTTATGACAATTAGCGTATTACACATCCGGTTTATTAAAAACAATGAGGATTAGATATGCATAAATAGTAGCTAAAGTGTAAGGATGACTAAGTATGTTAATTATGGACTTTATACAGATCGAGAGCAATCGCTGATAAGGGTAGGCACATTAAACACAGATTTCAGAAGACAGACAGATTTCTTTCTTTTTCTGAATTGTGACATTACAATCTAAAAATATCTAAAAATAACTTCTATAGCATTCAAGATATGTGGCACGTGAATATACATATTAAAGTCCCCATTCCCCATCTTTTGGTGAAAACACATGTTTCATTGTTTGAACTTAAATATTTTAAGAATGATGCTGTGTCACATTTTTATGGCCATCCCTGTATATATAGTTTCTTTATATTCAATAATTTTTACATATAACTTCAATTTGTCGTGGATTTGTTCGTACCAGTGCACTGTGTGCAAGGCGAGACAATTATATTTGTCGCATTTCATTTTGAAAACTGCTTCTGATTGCATAATTAAAGGTATGAAATAATGTAGGTTATAAATGATATAACAGAAATGGTATAATAACATATTCTTGATTTCATCGTTTACATCATATAACCATGTTTTGCATGCATTTTTAATTACAGCCTTATAAACGTATTAAAAACTGGAAGTGTGAAGACAATCAACACTGGTAAATTAAACAAATGGAAAATATTGGCAAATTCCTTGATGGATGCTATAGTTATGGGGTATGTTAAACATGCAATATCACGGGTTGACATCGAAAGATTTGTCCAGCTTTGGGAACATATGCTATTTTTCATAAAAACACAAAAAATGAGAAATTATTTCTTAACTCATATGTTTCTTTTTACCAAAGAAAATTAACTATATAATATTATTATGCAATGTGTAAATAGTAATTTGCGGATAACATTCACTTATGTTTGAAGTCCAGTAACGCTAGGATTGAATATGGCACCAAAGTATCATACTCTTAAAATACTTAAATGTGACATAAAGGTTTAATGAGATCTAGATGTATTGGGTATTTTAATTTTGAAAAATCATGTTTATTTTTTGTCCAGCTTGGGGGAGCACTTTTATATTTCACATTTGAAACTAGATTATTTGAGGAAAACTAAAGATTTTTACAACGATACATTCATTTGCTGCTCGCAATTTGGTCAGTAATTATAGATCTGATTCTACCTTTAATCCTATTTTATCATAAAATATTCAAAGCTGATAATGTCCCAATGGGCTATAGCAGCACATAATGCAATGTCCCAATGGGCTTTATCAGCATGTAGTGCAATGTCCCAAATGGGCTTTATCAGCATATAGTGCAATATTCCAATGGGCTTTATCAGTATATAGTGCAATGTCCCAATGGGCTTTATTAGCATATAGTGCAATGTCCCAGTTCTCTTATCAGCATATTGTGCATTTTCCCCAATGGACTTTATCAACATACATTGCAATGTCCCAATGGACTTCATCGACATATATTGCAATGTCCCAATGGGGCTTTTCCGCATATAGTGCAATATCCCAATGGGCTCTATCAGCATATAGTGCAATGTCCCAATTGGCGTTATCAACATATATTGCAATGTCCAAATGGGCTTTATCAGCATATAGTGAAATATCCCAAATGAACTATATCAGAATATAGTGCAATGTCCCAATGGGCTATATCAGCATATAGTGCAATATCCCAATGGGCTTTATCAACATATATTGCAATGTCCCAATAGGCTTTATCAGCATATAGTCCAATATCCCAATGAGCTATATCAGAATATAGTGCAATACCCCAATTGGCTGTATCAGCATATAGTGCAATTTCCCAATGGGCTTTATCAACATATAGTGCAATGTCCCAAGGGGCTTTATCAGCATAAAGTGCAATGTACTAGTGGGCTTTCTCAACATAGTGCAATGTCCCAATGGGCTATATCAGCGCATAATGCAATGGCCAAATGGCCTTTATCAGGTTATATAATGCAATGCCCATTGGACTTTATCAGCATACAGTGCAATGTCCTATTGGGCTTCATCAGCATAAAGTGCAATGTACCAGTGGGCTTTATCAACATATAGTCCAAATGGCAATGTCCAAATGGCCTTTATCAGCTTATATAGTGCAATGCCCATTGGACTTTATCAGCATACAGTGCAATGTCCCATTGGGCTTTATCTGCATATAGTGCAATGTCCCAATGGGCTCCATTAGCATATAGTGCAATGTCCCATTGCGCTATATCAGCGCATGATGCACTGTCCCAATGGGCTTTATCAGCATACAGTGCAATGTCCCAATGGGCTCCATTAGCATATAGTGCAATGTCCCATTGGGCTATATCAGCGCATAATGCAATGTCCCGATGGGCTTCATCAGCATATAGTGCAATTTCCCAATGGGCTCCAATAGCATATAGTGCAATGTCCAAATGGGCTATATCAGCATATAATACAATGTCCCAATGGGCTTTATCAGCCTATAGTGCAATGTCCCATTGGACTTTATCAGCATACAGTGCAATATACCACTGGGCTTTAGCAACATATATTGCAATGTCCCGATGGGCTTTATCAGCATATAGTGCAATGTCGCATAGGGCTCCATTAGCATATAGTGCAATTTCCCAGTGGGCTTTATCTGCATATAGTGCAATGTCCCAATGTGCTATATCAGCACATAATACAATGTCCCAATGGGCTTTATCAGTATATAGTGCAATGTCCCAATGGGCTCCATTAGTATATAGTGCAATGTCCCAGTGGGCTTTATCCGCATATAGTGCAATGTCCCAATGTGGTATATCAGCGCATAATACAATGTCCCAATGGGCTTCATAAGCACTCAGTGCAATGTCTCATTGGGCTATATCAGCGCATAATGCAATGTCCCAATGGGCTTTATCAGCATATAGTGCAATGTCCCCATGGGCTTCATAAGCACTCAGTGCAATGTCTCATTGGGCTATATCACCACATAATGCAATGTCCTAATGGGCTTTATCAGCTTATAGTGCAATGTCCCATTGGACTTTATCAGCATACAGTGCAATATACCATTTGGCTTTATCAACATTGCAATGTCCCAATGGGCTTCATCAGCATATAGTACAATGTCCAAGTGGGCTTTATCCGCATAAAGTGCAATGTCCCATTGTGCAATATCAGCACATAATACAATGTCTCTATGGGCTTTATTAGCATGTAGTGCAATGTTCCAATGGGCTATATCAGCATATAGTGCAATGTCTCAATGTGCTTTATCAGCATATATTGCATGCAACGTCCCAATGGGCTTTTTCAGCATATAGTGCAATGTCCCAATGGGCTATATCAGCAGAAAGTGCTTTGTCCCATGGGGCTTCGTCAGCAGCACAGACCCAGGAATAAGATTTAAATCCCCCCCCACTCACTGTGCAATGTTTTCTACCTAATACATAGTGAGTGGGAGGGGGATGAACTCTTGTTCCCGTGTCTGTGATCAGCAGGCCTATATTTTGTTCAATTTTATTTCAGGTGGCAAGAAGCGATTTGTTTCAAACTGTAGATTTGTTTGAAAACCAGAATATGACTCAAGTTGTGGTGGGATTGCATGCATTAGGGAGGAAGGTAAGTGCCAGCTAGGCCCTTATGTAAAATTGCAAAAGTGATCTTAACAGTGAAGACGCCAAAACATGAAAAATTCAGAATGAGGTAAAGTGAAAAAATGATAAAATTATATTTTTACCAAAACCTGATAAAAAGAATCATATAATAGTATGTAATTAACCCATGCAATGATATTAGTATACTCCCTCAATTTTTCTCGTTATCTAGCAATATCTAAACCAATGCTATTGGCCATGCCGACGAGGAAAATCATTAGCGAAAGTGAAGACACCATTGGTTTAATACTTCTATGTGAAAAACAAAATTATGCTTTTGAATAATGGCACAGACTTCAGTTCAACACGTGTATCTGTATTCAAAGATTAATTGAATGGTAGTTCTTAAGGAAAAGTGACAAATTAATTAAATACCCAAATTCGACAAGAAGTTAACAAAAAAATAAGTTGCTTTTTGTTTTTTGTATTACGCATTTCTTGTGCAAAAGCAAAATATGAAAGAGTATACCTGTTCAAATACAAACCTTACAAAATCAAAATGTCATTTGTATCAACGGTCACATATGCATGCAGCGATTAAGGTATTTGAGTTATTGCCCGGACAGACGGACGGACGGACGTACGGAAGGACTTACGGACGGACGGACGGAGGCTTTCCCTATATCCCTCCGAACTTCGTTCGATGGGATAACAAATGGGTGCTATCTTGTGAAGAACAAGAAAAAACGAACCTCGAGCGGATTGCCCTGATTCCTCCCAATTACACATCCCAACCTTGCTTCAGTAAACACGATTTCTTATTTTCAACGACAATTTGGTTACTTTTAATTCGGGTAGGGAACTTTTTCCAATTGTGGTTAGCAATATAGTTACACGACGACAGAATCTCAAAGATAATCATGCAATAAAATAATTTTGGAATGTGTTTTTGATCCTACCACCCCTATGAGAAAAATAAAAGCGCCCGCCTGGGTCGCCTGCCCGCCTGCAAATTACAGGTAACCATTTGTTCTGTTACGTTATATTTCGAATAACACTAAGAGATATATTGGCTGACTTTGTCCAGTTTATTTCAATATGGCGTAAGCCCCGATCATGACGTAATACAAAATAAGTATGGCTTGCCAGCCCAACAATACAATCAGACGATTACATGACATCTCCCTTTTTTCTTTTTGAAGTATTTTATGAGTCTATGTTTAAATGTTCAAAAGTGTCTACAATTTTGAGAGTCTTCATCTGTAGATATATATAGCAGGGTATAAAGTCAATATTCACTGCTTATGAGTCCATGTCTCAAACCTGTATTCACCCTGTGCACTTATCATGTTGAATACGGTAGTAGAAAATACTGTATGCTGATTTTGTTTTTCTTATACACATCTCTAACAAAAGATTGTCTTACATATAATCAATACAAATGTTTAAAATAAAACATGCATTATAAAACATAATCCACACCAATCTGTGTTGTTTGAACATTTTATAAGATCATTATCTAAACAAACTGTTAACTATGTGTACATTATTATGAGCTTAGTCATTTAATGTCTGAATGTACACTACTGCCTTTTGAGTCTTGACAGTCTATATGCATGAAAAGTATTATTTCAAGTTACATAGTCTTTGAGCCATTTTGGCTGATTTACAATCCTCTTTGATTTCCTTAATGGAGAACTAGAACTTGGTTCGGTGATAATAGAGCTATGAGAGACTGGTGTAGTATTACTAGTAAGTGGAACATTATTAGTATTTTGACCACCACCATCTATCCCTCCCTCCTTGGGATGTTTACTCGAGAAAAACACCATTGGTTTAAGAATTTTAGAACCCCGTTCAGGAGTAGGAGTAGGATCATGGCCTGTTGGCATCAAATGTCTACGATTTCTCCTGAACAAAGTTCCACTGTCACTTTTGATAATGTATGACCTAGGAGTGTGAGCTTGATTGAGAACCTTATATGGTTTACTCCATGCCTTTTCCTGATCAAGCTTCACTCTCACAGACTGTCCAGGGGACAGTTTCTCAAGTTTTCTTGCACCATGAGATCTGTTAAAATGTTTGGCATACAGTGATTTTGCTTTAGCATCATTGTTTTGAACTTCCTGTTTATCAGGCCAATTTGGGTTTAGATTCTCAGGCGAAACTGGCAGTTTAGTTCTGATTTGTCTACCATAGAGTAATTGACTTGGCGTTTTACCTGTAGAACTGACTGGAGTGGCCCGATAATTCATAAGGGAGCTTAAGGGGTCTTCTGATTTGAGAATACGTTTGGCAGTTTGGACGGCTCTTTCTGCAAGACCGTTACTTTGACTGTATCTGGGACTTGATGTTACATGTTTAAAATCAAACTCTTTTGCGAAATCTGCAAATTGTTTTGAGCTAAACTGTGGTCCATTATCTGATACTAACACTTCAGGGATACCATTCCTGGCAAATATCTTTTTGAGTTTGTTTATGATTTGAGTTGTTGTGACACTACCCCTAACATGAGCAATTTCTAGATAGCGAGAATAGTAATCAACTGTGACTAAATATTGCTTCTTGAAGCATTCACATAAATCAGTTGCTAATTGCTGCCAGGGGCGATCTGGTAATTTTGTTGGAATTAATGGTTCACTTCTCTGTTTAGGTTTCAAAATTTGGCAGTGCTTACATTTGGCCACCAATTCTTTGATTTGTGATGTAAGCCCTGGCCACCATACTGTCGCATTGGCGCGTTCACGGCATTTGTGAATTCCGAAGTGACCCTCGTGAATTTGATCAAGAATATTATTGCGACATGCAGCCGGTATAGTGATACGGTTACCATACATAAGTATGTCATTGACAACACTCAAGGATTCTCTACAATCATAGTATCGCTTGGCAACTTCTTTCACGTCTTTGTAATATTCCGGCCAACCATGAAGAACATAATTCATGACTGTTGAGATTTCGGGATCAATCTGTGACAAGTCACGAATATTCTCAAGACGCGACTTCGCGACTGGTAGGTTATCATATATGAAAGTCTCATATTCCGTCACACTTTCTACAGTGTTTGATTCCATGCTACTAAGGGGTTTTCTAGACAATGTGTCTGCTATGACTAATGTCTTTCCGGGTCTGTATTCAGCGATACAATTAAACCTCATGAGACGAATAAGCATTCTCTGGCATCGCACCGGTGTTTGATCAAGATCCTTTTGATTTATAATTGGCACCAGAGGTTTGTGATCAGTCACATATACAAATGATTCTAGTCCGACCAAATACTGACTGAATTTTTCCATTGACCACACCCCTGCCAAAAGTTCCTTTTCAATTTGAGCATAGCGGCGTTCGGCATCAGTTAATGAACGAGAACAGTAATGAACAGGAAACCAATCTGTTCCATGCTGTTGCTCTAAGACACCGCCTAACCCGTAACAGCTACTGTCAGCACTAACACGCGATGGCTTATTGATGTCGTAGTATCTTAGAACAGGCTTACTACTTACCTTCTGTTTCACTGTTTCAAAGGCATCCATTTGTGCTTTTCCCCATGTCCAAATTGTGTCTTTTCTCAAAAGTTCATTCAATGGGTGAAGCATTGTAGATAAGTTTGGTATAAACCTACCTATCCAATTTATCATGCCTAAGAATCGTCGTAATTCTTCAACATTTTCAGGAATTTCCATTTCCACTATCGCGGCGACTTTGGCTGGGTCTGGCGAGACTCCATTAGCGCTAATTTTATGCCCTAAAAACACGAGCTCGGGCTTCCGGTAATGACACTTCGCCTTGTTGAGAACTAGACCGGACTGTTTGATTCTCTGTAAGACTTGTTTGAGATTTTTATCATGATCTTCTACATTCTTACCATGAACGATAATATCATCCATGAATACTGCTACTCCAGAACAATTTTGCAAAATGCGCGACATTTCTCTTTGAAAGATTTCTGGAGCAAGCGATATGCCTTGTGGCATCTTCTTGTATACATAACGACCGAAGGGTGTTATAAACGTTGTTAAACGCTGACTTACCTCGCTAAGTGGCACTTGATGAAAACCTCCTGTGGCGTCGAGGGTGGAAAAAACAGAACTTCCCGAAAGTTTCTGTAATATACAGTCAATGGTTGGTAGGACAAATCTCTCGCGCTTAACTGATTTATTAAGTTTTCTAAAGTCAACCGTCACGCGAATTTTTCCTGACTTTGAGACTACCGGGACCATGGGTGAACACCACTCAGTAGGCTCAGTTATCTTGGCAATAATACCATTTGATTCCATTGATTCGAGTTTTTCTTGTAATGGTTTCATTATAGGAAATGGAACGCGCCTCGGTACCACAACAGCATATGGTTCAGCATCTTGCTTCAACTCAATTTTGACAGGCTCACATTTCATTGTACCCACTTCCCCATACAATTCATTATCATTTATGGGGTCTTTTACATGACCTGGCATTTCAGAAGTATTGTTACTAGGGGGCATTGTAGTTTTATTTCTATGGTTACCAGGATCAGAACCAATTTTACCTGCCTCGCTCTGAGAGGTCTGAGTTACAACATGTACATTTTTAGTAACTAGATTCAACATTTTAGCAGATCTGCGACATAATAAGTTATCACACTTTGGCCCATTTAATACAAATATTCTCATTGAGAATTTGGTACCATCAAGATTGCTATTTGTTATAAAATAACCTCTTGTATCTATTACCCCACCTACTGACTTCAGTGGGGGACCATCATGCCTTTGTAACCTAGGTTTTGGTGTAAGGCATTCATATGCTTTGTTACTCATAACATTTACATCAGCGCCTGTGTCGATCTTGAAACTCATCAATTTACCACAAATGGGTAAGGTCACACGCCATGGTGGCTCTGTGTGCCTATCTACAATCAGTGACTTGGCAGAATCAACCAAATGCACAAGCTCACCTACATGAAACTCAGTAGTGTCAAGATCGGCTTCAGCACATTCATCATAACATTCATGTACAACTCTTTTATCAACAGATTTCTTATTTGATTTA